TTTTTCTCGGGGAACTTTTGTGGGCTTAGTTCCCAAAGGAGATAGGAAAGACTGGGAAAGTATTTGGAACAATGAAGTGATAGGAATTCTGTGAGTTGTTAAGGAGTTGAATGGTTTTCATCGATTTTTTGTGGGTGACCTATTTGGACAAGATTCCTGAATAGGAATGATAAGGATTCTATCAAGCATAGCAAAGCCTCATAACTATTCTAGGGCTTCTACGCAGGCCTTACGATTAGAACCACTCGCAAGATCTGAGCCATGCATTCATCTCCGTTCTAGGATCGTCGGAACGATTGGAACCAGCTGAGGCATCTACATTGGACTTGGTAACTCTCGCCCGGGAAAGTCCTTCAACGGGATTTCACCAGATTCCGGAAGGTGTATGTGTGGTTTCTAGACGAATGAAGAAAGAAAATACCATAAAAAAAGGTTCGATTGATAAAAAGGATCCCGAGAGTCGATGAAAAGTCCAGGTTCAAAAAGACCCGATGCTAAAACCCACCTTAGCTGGAGATATCCTACTTCTTGGTAAAAACACAGGCCGATATCCCCTGCAGTATCCACCGTTACAGTACTGCTTTAGGAAATAGTAAAGCTGTAGGTAGAAGTACGAATTTCCGTTGTATCAGCGCGAGAAATGGTATTCTGTATGGCCATAATCAATGCACGTTGTCGCGACATTTACATATTGACCTTTTCAAAACCGTCGTTATCGTAGCCGGTCCAGTCAACGGGGGAAGAAGGATTTTCGACATGAGGGGGTAGAGGACAATAGAAGGTCACACAGCCATTTAGTCATCTTCAACATTTTCATCAACATTTACCTACAGTAATTTATCGATTCAATACGGTAATGACGTCATCGATGAGCTCCATGAAAAAGAACTGTTGCTATTGTTACAAACTTTTAATCATGCAACTGCTCCAACGAACTCGCTACGGAAAAAAGACTCGTAGACAGAGACGTGCTAGGAACCAACAAAGAAATTTATTGGTTCCCCTCGAAGAAAAATGTTCGACTGAAAATGCACTTTCTGGTAACCTGTCCTCTAGGTACGGTACTCTATACCTAGGTAATTCCATTGTTGGATAACTCCTTCCAGCAAGTTCTCTCCCACCAGTCCTTTCAGCGGAAGACCAATTTTTGGGTTGATTAACGGTGGGCGGAGCTTTCTGGAGGTCGGAGATCGTCCCAGAGAACGGGTTAGGGTAGGGTGATGCAAATGCCCTCTAAGGAATTGTACTGATGATTCTCTAAACGTGACCACCATCAGCTAAAAATAGCCAGACGGAAGTGCAGTGCAAAATTGAACCTGCAACGGGGCCACTTTTTTCGCGCAACGCCTTGCAGTCAAGGTGTGGTCGATGGGTTGGTCGCCGCTGTTCGGGCTGATCGGACTGGTCGGTCGGTCGCTTGGATGGATGGACGTACGGAGGGAAGGGACGGACGGGTGATGATGGCGATGATGATGATGATGATGATGTCGATGGGCTAAGCATATACAGGAGAAGAGCGTATTGAATGGAGACCCGAGACAGTGTGAGCGAGAGAATGCACATTGAAGGACGTTGCATTGATTGATTCCGAAGCAAAGGCTGAGAGAAAGAGAGCGAATGAAAAGCCCATTTGACTTGAGACTTGAGTTGGGGGAAGACAGAATGAGCATGTGGGTGATTATAGAGAAGCAAAGACACGCACTGTTAGAAATCTTGTCTGTGTCTGTGTCAGGGAGTGTGTGTGAGTGAGTGAGTGAGTAAACAGACAACATTTGAGTGCTGCTGTGATGGAGGTGGTGGTGGTGAAAAGAACAAAAGAGCTATTGAGTGACAGGCCGATGTGAGATGGTGTTGGTGAAACATCACACACACTCACTCACATTGCTCAGGCCGCTGCTAAAAGAACATGAAACGGAAATTTCTCCTTTTTTCCCACTTACACACACCCCACGGGATGACGGAAAACTGGAATTTCCCCGCCCAAGTAGGGAATGAAACAGGATTTTTGCCTTTCACGTCCTGAAGGTGAACGTGAAACGGGAATTTCGCCTATTGGAATGATGAAACGGGAATTTTTACAAATATTGGAATGAATGGAGTAATTTTCAAACGCCGGCAAAGACAGGTACAAGGGGGGATGGAGGGGGGGGGGGGGGGGGGGGGG